CATGGGAAAGACACCAAACGAGGGCTTCACGAAGGGTAAGCAGCTCCATAACCAGGGGATCATCAATTGATGCGAACTGCAGCCCGAATGCGAAGAGGACCTCACACACATGATTAAGAATAACAATCCCCGAGCCGAATAAGAGCACCTTCTGGTTGCTCCATCCCACATACACACACCAGAATTGCCCTGAACAGGGCTCAAGTGTTGTACCGAAGGGGGAGAAGTATAGGGAGCTCGTTCTCTCGTAGGTTCACCCACTCTTCATATTGCTGGTGCAGCTGGCGCATCAGAGCTGGGATCCCGAACTGTTTCCCCTCAAAGACCACCCAGTTTCGAGATCGCCAGATTCGCCAAAGAACCATGACTACTTTCAAGAACAACTCTGGTTGGTGAATAATTAGCATCAGCTTCTTGAGGAACAGAGGGAACGTATGACGGGCCAAACCCTAGCCTAGATACTCCAGGCCCGAGTAATCCCACAGAGCCCTGGCTACCGGACAAGCTAGGAACAAATGTTCCATAGTTTCCTTCTCAGCCCAACACACCGTACACCGGGACCCTTTTCCCAATGAGAGCTTCTGTAGTTGGCAGACTACGGTTAAATATATGCCAGACAAAAAATTTCAGCTTGGGTGGGGCATTAGCCTCCCAAAGGCGGATCCAACTGTCTCTATCCATCCAACTTGCCTCGGATCGTCAATGACCCCTCTGTTTATCCAAAAGAACTGCAAAGTGGGAAGCTTATTTCACCGCAAAAACTGCATCAGTCGTGGCATGCCAGAGAAACTTATCGTCAACATTCTGCTTCGGCAGAGGAATAGCCATTATTGCGCGACAGGTGGGAGGTTCAAACCACTAGCCAAGCTTGGCCTCACACCACCGCCCCTCCTCATGGCAGATAACCTCAGCAACCCTTAAGTCATCCCCGTCCGGCAACACCCAAGAGTTAAACACTGGACGATCAGGATGCAGCCTAGGGATCCAATTAGATTGGAGGAGCGAGGCAGTCCGACCATTGCCAATTTGCCATCGCAGACCCGTATCCAACAACTGGCGACCATAGAGAATACTCTGTCACCCCCGAGAAGGGCGAGAACGAGCCGTAGTAGAAAGGAACGTCCTATTAGGGAAGTATTTCCCCTTATAGACCGGAGCTAAGGGCGACTGAGGCTCCTCATTTATTAAAAGAAATTTTCTTTGATGTAAATTAAGTGAGGAAAATTCCTGAACTCCCTTATCTTTCGTTCTAAAAGTATTCAGTATGGTACCAGGTCAATGCTGCCAATATGGTGATCAGACTAGACGAAATTGTCAAACCCAAGACTTTTTTTGGTTAAGTTTCACTAGATACCCTTAAACATAAACCAACCCCACTTCAATTAACTTTTGACCAATTACAATTTTCATTTTGGCTGGAATCATATATCAATTTGATTCAATTTTGAACCAAACTAAACCAGCCATTATACGTTGTTACTAGGGGTGACAATCAAACTTGCGATCATGGGCACCCAACTGTTTCTAACCTAGTCACGTGGGGAATTCATGCATTGACTAGGTATGGATAAGTATTGGGTAAAACCTGCAAAAACTTTGATGGACATGAGACATGTATGATTTTAGCCTCCTTGCCTTAGGCGCATAACTCGCCCAATGGCAGATTCAGGGGGTGGCCATTCAGCCTAGTGTTAGTTTATTAATAAGATTGTGTGTAATTGAGAAAATGGGTTAGATGAACATATTCAAATCACAACTCTAAATTTAGTCTAGAAATTCTAGCTCCAGTGATTCTCTTCTAAAGAAGAAAAAAAACAATGTAACCTAAATTTCTAAAAATCTAAGACGTAAGAGACTAAAAGAACTATAAGACGTGTTCCCTTGAAAAATTACTAGAGCAGTTGGTGGAAATAGGGATGAACACGGGGTAGGATACTATGCCTACCCTTAAAGAGGTTGGTTTTTTGACACCCGCCTTTTCAATTGGTCACATTTTTTATTAATTATTGATAAGTATTAATGAAGGTAGACATAATAAATGTTCTGTTATTAAATACAAAGTAAGCATTAAATACACCATATGAATTATTTGTTTTTAAAAAAATCTAAACATATACAAAATACAATTCTCATCTTTGATCTTTCTCACTTCTATCTCTGATTTTTCCTTTCCCAGCAGCCTCCGACCACCAAGTTTCCTCCAACCACCATACTTCGCCGGTAAAATCCCACTGACAGACTCTCTCCGGTCACCTGCGAAAATATACCACTACACTAATATGTTGTACCATTGTACTGGTATTTGTACCACTGCACTGATACTCAGATATGACATTAGTACCAGTCAGTGCAGTGGTATAGCTACCAGTGTAGTGGTACAACGTATCAGTGCAGTGGTATATTTTTTGCAGGTGGTCGGAGGGAGTCTGCCGATTGGATTTTCACCGAGAAGTGTGGCAGTAGGAGGAAGCCTAGTGGTCGGAGGCTATTGGAAAAGGAAAAATCAGATATATGGAGAGAAAATGTATTTAGTGTAGATTTTAATTTGACAAAAAAAACAAATAATTAAAATGGTGCATTTAATTCCTAATGTATTTAATATGTGTATTAAATTCTATAATTGTATTTAATACCCCATGGGGGTGTCATTTTTTCAACCGCTCAAGGGGGTTAGCATGCTAACCGACCCCGGATGAACACACAATACAAATTGATCAGTCGATTGATTTGTCTAGTGTTGACATTGCCCTTTTAAATTGCTACTATGGAGAAAACCTTTTCAAAAATGGAACAGATGAAATATGATTTGCGCAACAAAATGAACGATGAATTTCTCGCCGATTGGTTAACTATTTTATTTGAAAGAGAGTAGTATGCTATTGGTATGGATGTAGACTCCATTACTGATGAATTTGCTATATTAAAAGATTGAGATGTACAATTGACATTGTAAGAAAAACTATGATTTTTTTATAGTATCTAATTTTCTAATTAGGGATGGCAATGGGTCGGGTTGGGGGCGGATAGTGCATATCCGTTACCCTACCCAAAGTACTTCTGGTTTTACCCATACCCATACCCACATGTGAAACGGGTAGAAAATCAAAACCATGCTCATACCCGTTTGGATTTCGGGTATCCACGGTTATCCATGGATATCAATTTCTCTTCATAACTCCAACCAATATGTTAACATTCACACGTATTCTTATATTAAGTAAGAGAAAAAGTATGACAAGAATTCACTAGAATGAAAAAAATTAACTAAAACAACACAATTTCATGAAAATGTTATATTTATATGCTAAATATAAAATATGTTAGAGAAATATAATGATTATTTCTAGACAAAAATACACATGCATGTGTATAATCGGGCGGGCGGGTTCGGGTCGGATAGTGAGAAACCCATGCCCACCCATTACCCGCAATATTCGGGTTCGGGTTTTACCCGTACCCACTAAATGTCCTTCGGGTTCGGGTTTTACCCTACCCGACTAGGCCGGATTCGGGCGGATATCCACGGTTACGGATATTTTTGCCATCCCTATTTCTAATGAAATGCGGCCCAATGATCTGCTATGTCCTGGATTCGCCGCTGAACTCGCCCCATCAAGAGTATTCTTCACATATAAAATAATGTGTCCGAACAAGAGTATTTCTTTACTTATGAAAATATATAGATCAAATAGTAACATGTCAATGATAATGAGGGTGATTGAATAAAATCACTATTAGAAATGTTGAGTGGCAATTGACCACCAAATTAAAACCTAATTAATTTCCCTCAATTCTCTCTTCACTCTTTCACTTTCCCCATTGTTAACAAAATTATGTTATTTATTTATTTTCTAGGAGATGTATCAAAGTCGGAGAAGAATGATTTTGATAATATTGTACTCTATCTTACGAATTAATGGATGTTTTAGAATCATATGATTTCAATCGTATTGAGAATGATTATATATTTAATGATTTATTAGGTCACTTTAGTATTGCAATTGGGAATTTATGCCTCGTTTGGAACATGTGATTCTAATGATATATTTTGACTATACACATCCAGCAGAATACAACATTATTTTACTTGATTTGAGCACATAATGTATGTATTGACAATACATGATGTATTCCTATTACGTAAAAAATGATTATGCTTAGGCCATGTATGGTAGTTGGGATTCTATACATTGTTGCATTTAATAAATTTATGTATTATAATTAGATGCATTGTTTGAATGTATGAATTTGAGAAGGAAACAAAAAACTTTGTTTGGAGATTGAATGATTTTGGTGATCCATCAAAAAATAGGAAGAAAAAAAGAGAGAGATTAACAATCTCAACTAGCTGAGGTTGACAATCCTCCATAATGAATGGTTCTGGTGGTCTCATCTTCTATTTAAATAAAGTATTGTGTTTCATTAAAAAATGACGAATTATCGGATTACATGTTGTCTAAATACATAATCTGAAATCTCAATTCCAAACGACCCCTTAATCTCACATTTTTGTGAGATTTTAGTATCATAGTTCATTTAACGTACATATTCTTTTATGTTCTTCAAACAATGTAGTATTAGAACTCACACATTGTTAGAATATATCTAATCTTAATATACACATTCTTGTATACAAAATTTTCTCAATCAAAGGTTCCAAACGACACCTTACATGTAAAATTTTAGATATAATAATGTTGAATGTACGTGACAGGTATCACCATGGATATTTGAAAACCTTCCACCGCATGAATATATGGAGATTGGCTGAGTATGAATTTGTATATTTGAAAATGGGATGATGATTTTAGACAAATCATTGTCATTGCCATTTTTTTTTTTTTTTTTAGAGAAACTCATTGCCATTCAAGCGGCTACATGCATAACACTTACCAGACAGAGACAAAACGACAAAACGTTTTTCAAGTATAGAAATATACAATATATTTTGGAAGCCACACGTGGTACATTACATGGGCCACATCCACACATATCGAAATATTCTTTGGCGATCGTGTAGAGAATTAAGGAACCCTATACATTATTATCGAAAAGATGATTGAAATTTGTCCAATTTGTCAATGCGGATTGTTTGTGGGGAAGAAATAAATAATTAACAAATACTTTGCCTGTTCGTATAAACTAATGGTGTGGGCCAAATTCAAGACACAATAAGCATCTGGCATTGGATTCTTGACTCTCCCAATGAACAAGGGCTGGTCGAAATACGAGGGAAGGTTCAAAACCAGGTGGTATGCTGTGTGTCTGCCTGTGTTTGTTTTCAAGTTTAACACTTGAATCAAAGCTTGTAGCTCTTGACCGTTACTGTTTTCAAATCAGTTAGTGGACGTGGATGTTGAGCATGGGGAATGGGTCAAAACCTTTCTGCTGACCAACGGTCGAGAAGTTTCAAGTGAGCCATCGAATCTATAGTGTCTGCAGAATGGAAGGATGATCAATGCAGCCCTCTTTCTCTCTGGCCTCAGCAGATATCTTCGTGCATGTCCATCATTGAAGAGATTGCAGTCACTGGCCTTACTGAGACGTGACTCAGCTGCTTGAAAGCTTCAAATGCCACCGCAACTTGGTCAGCATCTGTCCGAGGGCCTTTGTTCCAGAAGGGCAGCCCATTCTTCCTGGCCTTGTGAACCATTAGGATGGAAGAGGATCTCTCACAGCGTCCCACCATGAGATGCAATGGATAACACAGAGGTTCTCCACCTGCTGAACTCCTCTTCTAGAAGGTTTATCATCGATGGTATGTTTCTTGTAGTGTGAAACAGGCCATAATTCGGAGTTGTTTGCCAGTGTTACTCGGTTTGATGGTTCTGTACTTGTAGTCAGGCCTTCGTGATTTTCTTGCTGGCTTGTATACAGCTAAAACCAGTTATGTTGTGATGAGGGTGGTGAAAAGAGCCATCAGAACCATAATGGCAAATGTCTGATCATTCAGTGCCTGAAATAAGAAAAAACAATGGCAGAGCTATTAGGTCCTTAACACAAGAATCTATCTTAACTATCAGGAACCTAGAAAACTCTCTCAAATAAAGAATGGTTTACCTTCCTGTCTTTGCCAATATTGAGGACGATCGAGTTGGCAAAGACATTGCCAATATTGATGGTTCTGTACTTGAGAATTGTATTCTGGCCGAGTTGAAGCTCCTGACCACTGACATTGGCAGAATGGCAATGTCAGCTGCAGCAGTTAATGATGTGGTTGCATGGGCTCTTGCTCCTACTATAGCAATATCTGGGTCTGGCAAATCCCCCCTTATTGCACTTTTTGGTTCAAATTCAGGCTGTGGATTTGTCATTCTCGCCATACTGATAGTTCGCCCGATCTTTAAGTGATGGCTCCAAGGTGTCATGAAGGTGAGCCTGTCCAAGAAACGTACGTATGTGGAACACTAGCTGCTGGTTTTGCGAGACAAGGAACGCAGTGTCGTTTTACTCCTTTGGATATGGTTGCTCGGATGACAAATGAGGAACCAATTCCCGTTAAGAATGACAATGAGAGTCTGATTCCTCCAAAGGCTAGAGCTAGAGCTTTCTTCCCAGTTCGACAGAGTGCTTTAGGATCTCTCTCTAAGCCGGATAGAAACAGGAAGTAGAGAAGACCAATGTTTGCCAGACTGTCCAATACTGTGTGCAAGTAGGTCTCTTGTTTCGACCCAGAGAGAAGGCCCAAGCATAATTCCTCCCTGCGACGTGTGAAAGCCACTGCATGAGTTTGACAGATAAACCAACTTTCTGGTGACACAGAGATGAAAGCATCAAGTTATACAGTTTCACCAGGTAACATCATCAATATGCTATTACAGAAAGGCAGCTCTGCACAATTTGCATGACTATTTCCAAACCTTCAAGTTAATGTCACTAAATCTGCACATAACTACATCTGTTCTTTGATCCAGCTAAAATTTCAGCTGCTTCTGAACATGATCAAAGACCAACTATTTGCATAGAACACAGGTGCGTGCCAAGGCTATGCCAGCAAGATGTAGACTTTTGCACAAAAGAAACTAAGACATAAATGGAGGCGATTTTCCCAGAGAAACTTAGTACAGAAGGAAATATGGCGAGAGATGAAACTTACCACCATCTCTGCAATCATACGGGGTTGTCTCAATGGTCTCAAAAGGGAAGCCAGATCCCTGGTCAGAGCAACCACGAGACAGATCTGGAGAATCACAAGAGGAAGAGCGAATTCCAACGGACTGTACCCTTGGAGGAACCCATTCGATGTAGCCCACCATGGGCTTAGCACATGTAACATTTGCAGTAACCATTTCTGCCTTCAATAGCACAGTCTCACATTCACTACCTTCCCCCAAAAAGAATCCAGACAAAAAACAGAAAGAAACCCCAGATCATTAGATTCTCGGGGAATCAGAAAAACCTTCCATATTCCCAATCAATTTCCAGGATCAAAACCCAAAAGTCCTGAAGATCATCTAAACCCAGTTGAAATCTCGTTGAATTAACCCTCACCCACCAAATTTTTGATCCACCCAGTTCAATTTGACTCGGATAATCGGAGAACTGAAGGGTCGAGACACAATCTTTCGATGAAAGAAATCAAGAAAGCACAATGCCGGATTCGTCATAGTACAACAAAAGCAAGGGCGATTGGCATACCTGCAGTTGGAATCCTTCAATTGGGTTGCAGGTAAATTGGGACTTGGGGAGCGAGTAGAGAAGAACGCCGCTGGAAGAGAAAGAGTGGGAATAATTTGAGCGCTACTAAGATTTTCTCGACGAGGTTTTTTTCATTCTCCAGTCTCCATCTCTCTCGAAAATATTGATTCGTAGTTTGCACGTATCTCTGTGTTTCTACTTCGAATTGAACCTCTGAAAGGGAAAGGAGAATATGGAAATTCTATATCCTCTGTATTATTTTATTTCCCTTTTTGTTTTTTCGGTATCTTTTTCTCTTCTTTCTTTCTGTTATTTTTTTTGTTTCTGTACTCAAATCAAACGAGCAAGAAACTAAAATTATACCCAGAAAGAGGAAAACAGTGAAAAGAAAACAAAGGAAAAGAAACGAAATACAGACATTCTAATTTTCCATCCCCATTCGCACCAAAAAAATAACTTCAGACCTCCATTTTCCCCTCTTCCATCTCCCCAGCCGGCAACTCCGCCACCTTCCCGGAGCTCATCGTGCTGTGCCTCGGCGTCGACCTTTTCTCTGTAGAGTACTGCTGCACCACTAACACCGACGCCGACGTCACAAACTCCGGCGACGTCAAGAAATTCCCCACCGAACCCAGCTCCGAACACTCAATCTTCGCGCTCAGGCACGCCGCCACCGGACCCTCCGGCGACCTCCCCACCAGAAACAAATTACACTTGCTGAACCCTCGAATCGATTCCGCAGTCTCCACCGGATTGTTCACCACTTTCTCCTCATACTTAATCGACCCATCCTCCCTAATCCTCTTCCTAAATTCAGCCAAATACTCACCATCTGAAATCCCCGACGAGTCAGGTCCGTCGTTCAAATCGACGGTCGAGATCTCCCCCGGCGAATTCTGGCCCGCCACGTAGCGCATCACCGTCAAGCTGATCCCCGGGTGCTCCGCCATCCTGGCGCCGTACGCCAGCGCCTCCCTGTCGTCCTTGCCGCCGAAGAACAGCATGGTGATGCTCGAAGAAACATTGCTCGCAGCGACATGGGTCGACCCGCCGAACCCGCGATCCACGAGGATCGCCACGGAGCAGGTTGCCCGCTCCAGGACCCGACGGTTCACGCTCCGAAACTCGATTCGGGTCGTCTCTAGGGTTCCGTCGACCCGCTGGTGCTTGTGAAAGGGGAGGATGATCATGGCCGCGCGCTTCCGGTCTGCGCTCTCGCAGATGTCCTCGTGCATCCCGTGGATGGCGGAGATCGCCGTCATGGGCCGGATCACGACCCGGCTCAGCTGCCGGAACGCCTCGAAGGCGACCACCACCTGATTCGAGGAATCCGACTGCTGGATCTTATTCCAGAAGGGGAGCCCGTTCTTCCTCGCCTTGTGGACCATGAGGATCGCCGATGGCCGCTCCGAGAGCTCCATGAGATGCAAGGCGTAGACGCAGAGTCCCTGTCGCTTTTCGGTCCCGCGGGAAGCTTCGATCAAATTGATCAGTCCAGGTATGTTCCTCGATGAGTGGAAGCACGCCAGTAGTCTGAATTGGTCGCTTGGATCTTGCCTCTCGAATGTCCTGTGCTTGTACTCTGTTTTCGACTCTCGTTTCGCGGGCTTGTAGACCGCCATTACGATGGGAGTAGTGATGAACGTTGTGAATATAGCCATCAGGACTAGGATTGAGAACGTTTCCTCATTCAGAACCTGTTGTGAATTCAGTCGCCAAGATTCGATTCAATTCAGTTACCCAATTGAGCTCTAAAGAAATAAGTAGGAAGAGAAGAAAAATGGAAACTGGATTACCTTTCTGTCTCTGCCAATGTTGAGAACAATGAGCTCCACTAGACCCTTGGTGTTCATCAGGAATCCAACGGCTAATGCTTCCTGGAATGGCATTTTGCAGAGTAAGGAGACAACCACGGTGCCGACGATCTTGCCAAAACAAGCCGTGACGATGACCAAAACGAGGAGCCCCCATGATTGTGCACCGTGTATGGTGGCTACATTGGTCTTCAATCCGCTCGAGACGAAGTACAATGGGAGGAATAGACCCGAGACGAGATCTTCCACCTTTTCGACTAGCGCTCCAGCGAATGCACCTTCCTTAGGGACGAGGATTCCCACGACAAATGCTCCGAAAAGAGCGTGGATTCCGATGGTGTCGGTGACGAATCCTGCAGCCAGGACACAACACAATGTGGCGCACACGTAGATTTCGTCGACAGGCTCGCCATCAGGGCAACGTTGGGCCATCATTGCGAACACTCGAGGCAGAATGACCACACAAGCTATGACGAAACCTGCTCCACACAAAAGCACCCACAGGGAGACCAGAGGGGAGCCTGTGCCAGAGAGGGCAATGGCGAGAGCGAGCAGAATCCAGGCGGCAATGTCGTTGACAGCTGCGGCCGACATTGCCATCCGACCGACGTCTGTAGTGAGGAGTTTGAGCTCTGCCAGGATTCGAGCCAGGACGGGGAAAGCAGTGATGGAGAGCGCCACGCCCATGAAGACGAGGAACGGAGGTCCACTCACGCCTTTGGAGATGGTCCCGCGGAGGACAACGGATGTCCCTATTCCCATGATGAAGGGGAGGCCGATCCCAGCCATGGCGATAGCAAAGGCTTTCTTCCCTGTCCTCTTGAGTGCCTTGGGGTCCAATTCAAGTCCCACCAAGAAGAGGAAGAAGAGCAGTCCCAAATTGGCAAGAGTGTCCAATACCGTGAGACTTTTAACTGGGAAGAGTGTGTTCAAGTATTCATGGTTTCTCCCCAATGCAGATGGACCAAGCAATATCCCTCCCTGTAATCCAAGCAAGTAACATTTCTACTCATTACTGACCGCAACAACGTAAACTGTAACGAACGATTTTGCTCATCGATGGGATGGTGGTTTGACTTACGACGATCTCTGCAATGACACGAGGCTGGCGCATGGGGCGAAGCACGAAGGCGAGAGCACGAGTGAGGGCGACGACAAGGCAGATCTGGAGGATGGCGAGAGGCAAGGCAAAGTCCAAGGGAGTGTCGCCTTGGAAAACTCCATTGGAGGTTGCTTTCATGGGCTTATAACATGTCCCATTCCCGGGAGCCATGTTTGTTTTTTTGAAGGTTTTCACTTCCTTTCTTTCTGTTCAACGAAGAAAGTTGAATCAGTGCCATCATGCATAACAATGATGATTACATTACATAGGAACAAATTTGTGGAGTTTTACTTGAAAAGGCAATAGCTTTAAAACTGCACTAGAGCTTGTCAATAAGGTTCATCAAGATCATGCTAATTCAATCAGGAATGGGCAATCAAGTTAACGGTGGAAGCCAATTTCTAAGTTCAAATGGTGCTCGGCGGCGGCGGCGGCGGCGCTAGTACTTTGTCATTATTACCATCACATTCCCCACCCCACGTGTCCGAATCCAAGTCCTACGTGGCTTCTTCAAAACTAGACAACTGGCTATTGGTCTTGTGAATGTTGCCACCAGGAAACAAATATGTCCCCGCAGTGGCTCAAATGCCCCTCTCTGTTTCTTTTTTTAATCTCATAAATTCCCCAACAAAGACAGAGATGCAATAACGACAATAAATAATAAGTGAAGAAAGAATGAAAACTTTGTCCTCGTCCACAACAAAACGAATCAGCTGATAGCAAATCAATATTCTAGAATAGAGCAAAAACGACAAAAGGAAAGGGAGCAGGGGAATTAGTCGATTACGGCGACCTTTCTTTTGCATGCAGAGAGGAGAAGAAGAGCGGTAAATGAATCAAACCCAGATGAGGAAACACACCAAATCGAAAAGGGCAATCGCCATTTTCACAGATTAAAGAGCAAAGATGGTACCTTTTGTTCGGGCAGCAATGTGAAGGAGAGTGGTTGTTGAGGGGGGGAGAAGCAAAAACAGAGCAATGCAGTTGTAACGGGGTGTTCTGTTCCGAGGGAAGAGAGGAGAAGTACTGTGAGCGAGATTAAGTTGTAACTGATCCAACAAAAAGGACAGTCTAGAGAGAGAAAGAGGAGAGACAGAAGGAAAGAAAAGAGTGAGAAGCGGAGGTAAGAATATAATTAGAAAGTTGAAGTGTTGGGAGCCATTATAGGGGAAGTGAGAGTGGTCTTGAGATGAGACGAATCAGGAAGTCGTGTTGAGTTCCACAAAGAGAGGGGGTGAAGTTGAGGATGTAAGAAAGAATGAGAAGTGGTGGAGAAGAAGGCTTGGCAGATTTATAGGACACTTCCATTTTCCAAGGGCCTCTTTGTTCAATTCTTTTTATTGCATTATAATGTTTAGTTGACACAAAAACGGGGGAATAATAATTAATAAAATAAATGAAAATAACATAGAAAAGTAAAGTCAAATCCTTTTGTTCATTAATCTTTTTCTTTGGGTTAATATTTTCGTATGGCCTGAACTTTGACCAAAATAAACATCCTGACCAATCTTTTCGATCTATAACATCTTGGCCCGAACTATACACCAAAATAAACAATTTGACCAAATCCGATGTTTGACCGTTAACTTGGACGATCAAACGCGTTGACTAACGGTCAACGCGCCACGACACTGCCAAGTCAGAACATCTGATAAATATTTAATTTTTTAGTTTTTTATTTTTGATTTAACTAAGGTATTAGATGATTTTTTTAATTTATATTAATTTAAAATTAGGAAATGTGTGAAAATTGTGAATTATTTTAAATATTTTATGCTGACTTGACAGTGACATGGCGCGTTGACTAACGGTCAACGCGTTTGACCGTCCAAGTTAACGGTCAAAAGTCGGATCTGGCCAAATTGTTTATTTTGGTGTATAGTTCGGGCCAAGATGTTATAGATCGAAAAGATTGGCCAGAATGTTTATTTTGGTCAAAGTTCAAGCCATACGAAAATATTAACCCATTTTCTTTCGATTGGTTGGATTCTTTTGCTCATGAAGGTTGATTCACTTTTCCATTGCTGTTATTTATAAGCAAAGTATGGGCAGTGCAGTCCTTTTCTCATCGTTGTTATCCATAATTTTCACGTAATTTTTATTCTGATCATCGAATTATGCCAATAAAATTTAACTCTTAGACACGTTATGACGAGGAACATGAATGGATGTTGTGCACAAGTTATTTATGATTTATTCTTACTTATTATTTTGAGTACATTGAAACTTTGTTAGGTATACCTTTATAAATCCATGATTATTATATGAATATTTATCAGTAAATAATTAATTAAGTTAGTCATACTCATAATCTTATATGTGTATATATTTAGGTTATTACAAAAAAAAACTATTTATTCCACTAAACAAATGTTCGTTCGACCTAAAGAAACATGAGTCTGTAAATCAGAGAGCAGATCCGGTGAGTAACGTATATTTACTCATTCGTACGTAACTATTATCCCCATTAAAATGTAACAGACTATATTACATCTGTTTTTACTCAAATTTTAAAAAAATCACATAAATTAGATTAATTATGCTATGCAAAATAACATAATTTTATATAAATTTTCAAGCAAGAAAACAAAATATTAATTGAGACATTTTGTTACCATCATATACTATGGTCGATTGGTCGTAGAGCTTAGTGATATAGACAATTATATCATGGTGGTATGGAAATGTACTATGATGCTAGAAATATACTAAAATATAGAATGGTGATATACATGGTGGTAAGAATATATTAACTAGTAGTTCATCATCCATCATTGTCTATCACTATCTACCACTATGTTAGAGGGTGATATAATTGGTCCCAAAATAATTTCCAAAATATATTACAAGCTGACATAATTTTGTAAATTACAATGAAACCGTTGATTTTGTGCAAAATTTTTCAAAAGCAATTTAAAATGAAAGTTATAATAGTCTATTAAAAAAATAAGAAAATAGTATAAAAAAATTAATTACAACCATAAAAACAGAATCCACTTATAATTAAAGGATCAGATAAGTTTATAAATTTGATTAAGTTAATAATAATTAATCTTAGTTGAAAAGTTATAAATCAAAGGGTCTATATTTATTTAGGGTTGAAACTGGGCCAGACTAGTCTCTAACCGTGTCAGAATCTTATTTGACTTGCAATTATAGGGTCAAACAATTCCAATGTGTTGGTATGAGTAATTTCATATTATTAATTGTTGTTTACTCGACCTTAAATTCACCTGACCTTACCCGACTCTTACAGGGTCAAAAGATGACCCGGGACCCTAAATTGATCCTATAGACAAACAGACACTGCCTGACCCTCAAGATAGGGTCGTGCCAGGTTAGTGAGTATCCAGGGCCAGGCTTACAACCCTAATATTTAATAGGGTTAGTTTTCTAAATTTATGGATGTTGACCACCATTTTCAGTATCGAAGGATGGATCCTCGCGATGATACTCGGGTTCTAGTGGCTGGCAATCCGAATTGTGATGGTCGACGATCGGATCTTTGTGAATTAATACTGGTAAAAATCAATACTAGAAACTGCATAATGTATATCACAAATTATAGAATATATATTAAAAATTAAACGATACACAACAGTGATAATTAGAACTATCCTTACATAAATTGTCTAATGCATACGCGTAATCACTAAACTCATACCAAAAACTTGTCAATCTATGCAAGTAATTAAAATCAATACCAATAATCATCTAATTCGTACAAAAATATCATCTTGAGAATACATACCAATAAAAAACCTGCACTATAAAACAAAAAGATTTGGCTATTAAATTGTTAATAAAATTATATAACAAATCACCTACCAGGAACTCGCTGCAATTCAACGCCCATATTCTAAGAGCGGCGGTCAGACTCCAAGGATCTGATTCTCACAACTAAGTGACAATAACTCCTAATAAACTTATTTTTACTCAAATATATAACACTAAAAAATCTCCAATACTAAATTTATCAAATGATTTATCTAAGAGTAAAACCTAGCTAACAAAACTGGTATCTTGCCATGGGAAAAAGTTAATTATGGATCTTATATCACTTTTTATATGCTCTCTCACAAAATACTAATTTGAAGTTTGTACAGTCCTATCATACTTGGTGCTTAAATCAATTGTTAATATTATGAGTCGTGGTGATTTGAACACACGATCAATTGATTAAACTTGTTTTGATATCATGTCATCAACGGGTTTATCTCAGTATTTCGAGTAACTAAAAAAAGATTAATTATGAATTTTAATCACTTTCATATCGTTACCGGAACAATGTTTCTGTCTTTTGTTTTATTTTTCATTAGATAACTCGTATTACCGAGAAATAGAAAGATACAAAGTTCAACACATCAACATGACTGAAGACAAGACACAAAATCAAATCCCATCAAACAAATGAGAATCTAATGAAAGAACTTGTTGGGCCACTAAATAGGCCAACTTTTTTTTTTAAAAACTCAATCTGATTTCATTGAAATCAAACACTAGCCTCAAGGGCAATTACATCAGCGATATGGGTAGGGACACAATCTTGCCACAGTCTATCACTAACAATATGAAAAGGAAGGAAATGTGCTAGGAGATGAGCCGCCCTATTTGCTTCCATGAACACAAAATTCCAATCAAGAACGTCAATCTCCGAGCCAACCAAAGAAATGCCTCTGCACACATTATCAATTTCTGTTTTGTTGTCTTCTTTGCCCTTAAGGATATTGATCAGCTTCTGGCAATTAGATTCCACCAGGATGGTTCTTATTCCCATCTCTTTTGCTTTCTGCAAACCGTACTGTAGCGTCATCCCTTCCGCAATATCAGGGGGCCAATTCGCTTTGAGCGTTCTGCAAACTGTCAGCTTCACACTTCCATTCCAATCTCTGATTAAACATCTCATTCACACCTCTCCTTTACCACTAAAGCCTGCATCAGAGTTAAGCTTATAGATCCCTTATGGAGGCTTTTCCCATATGCAATTCCTTTTGTCGGCTCCTCCACTTCTATTATTTTCCTTTCCCTGAACAGCAAAAAAATCATGTATGAAATCATCAGCTTTTGTAATGACCTCCCACTCTTGTAACATCTTGGTATTAAATAGGCAATTGTTTCTCTCCTTCCAGAAAAACCAAAGTAGTGAGCAGAATCTTTCAATCTCCCCGTCCTTTGCCTCCTTAACCACTTTGAAAATCCATGCCCTGTAGGAGAGGGTGGAAGCAAGATAGAACAAATATGCAAC